TTCAGAATTTCTGCACATAAACTACCAATGGAGAAATTAAGGTATTTACAAGTACCACCAGAGGAAAGGTTATGCATGCTATGTGATGATCTAGCTGTTGGCAATGAGATGCATGCTTTCTTAGATTGCAGGAATCCAGAGATGGAATCTGCTAGGTGCAAATTTATGAGAGCAATCTCAATGCACAAAGAATTTCAAAGTTTGCCTAAGCAGATCATGTTTAAGAAACTGATGAGTTCAAAAAATAGTTTCATTGCCAGCAGTATAGGAGTCTATATACATAAAATCTTAGAAATTTATGCTAATTGTTAAACATCTTTTTAATTTTTATTTTATTATTGTTGTATTTGTGCGTTACTATGTTGGTTTTTGGCCATAAGTTATGTAATTTCTTACATTATTTCGAGTCAAATTCTATTCTATACCAATTTTATGGCTTACAAAATATTTGTCGACTATTGTGAAGTAATATAAGAGGGTGCACTAAAAACTAGCTAGGATATATACATCCCATGCAGTTAATGTATATGCATTCTTACTACCTTATACTAAAATATGAAGTTACACAGATAAAAATAATGCTTTCTTTTGTCCACGTTATATGGTAAATATTTTGAGTGTGTACTGACCTTAATATCATGGGCGTAAATATGGACGACTATGGAATTTTTATGCGAGCCTGTCGGATGCGTTTCAAATTCAGCCTCGGCAAGCACCACTGAGTGGGATGAACTATCTCTGCCATCAACATCCTTGCACGAAGTTTGTGCGATTGCGACAACAAGAATCATTGCACACCAGGCCAGAACTTGAGAAGTGAGTGATCGTTCTCGACGTTCTAAGCTGCATACATTCGGCGACATCATTGTCACGATCGCCTAAAATACGCGAATTCCTTTTTGTGACATATTTAGTCTTCCTAATTTTGTAATGCAGCAGTTTCATAATACCTGCATCAGCAGTTCATTCATTCATCAACAACTTCTTTCACGTGCGCCATGTTGTCCGTGACGTATCCGGCGCATATAGATTCCGGTACCCACAATCCTTTACGTTAAAGTAAACTCGTGTGACTATAAGGTATACGAACACCTTGTATGTTAGCAGCGATCAACTTAATTGAATACATAATTTTTACAGTATTTGGTGTCACGAATAGACGACCTATGCCTTTTAAAAAAACTCGAAATCATTTTTTTTGGACAATTCAAAGTAAATGTGGGTATTCACATATGGCAGTCACGGTCGAAACTAAGCCTGAGTGGAGTAATTACTGCTTCTATTCTGAACCACCGCCACGTGATTGACTTGTGCATACAATAAATGATGACGGTATTCTTTTTTCTAGGTGTACACGTCACGTGTTCTGTCCTTGGCGGTAGTAATTGCGTTAGACGATTTTAGAGAAATTCTCCTGTATTTCACAGGGACTTGTCAACTGACAGCGAATCCCCCTTCGTGTTCACACTAGAGGATTCGCCGTCAGTTGACAAGCCCCTGTGCGTAAGTTTTGTCTAATTGTCACGACTATTCAGTGTCTGAGATTATCTCTGTAATTCTCGGAATTCGGGCGTTCATCAAGATTACTCAATTTTACTGAAGAAATTCGGAATACAATATTATAACACATTTGTTTGTCGCCCTGAATCTAAGTTAACGATGTTTGGTTATTCAACAATACCCCAGAAAGCATTTCTGTCTACCTAGCTGCAATTGTAATATTCCGACTACTTCTGAGATCAACGGGCAGTATACCAGTTAAATCATGTAATAGACGTACGTGTTATGTGAAAACGTCTGTCATCCTAACTGAAAGTGATATTGATCTTGTCATCGGATTATCTTTACATTAACACATACATTTACATATTGGGCAAATATTGCGTATATTATACTTATACAATGACGTAATAGACGCATTGCATTATGGACAACTTGAATGTACAATCAATCTATGCTGATGTCATACCAGTACACATGCATGCGAGAAAATAACCATTTTCTTCGATGTCATGTTGCATGTTTACATTTCTTCTTCCAAAATTCTGAATTTTTCGACAAATCCCCGAATAAGTTTCTCATTGTGTTGAACAAATCTTCACTATTAATGTTAAAATAAAACCAATTTTAATCATAATGTCCTATTATGCAGGAGCCGAACAATATAAAAGTGATCGGGCAATGAAACTTTATATATACTGTAAAATACTTTATTTTCGCTGGATTTAATTTTTGCTGAAAAGACTCTTTGGGTGTTTTGTATGGATTTTATATTCACTAATAAAGTATTTTACTCTATATATATATATTGTAAACTAGTCTAAAATAATTTGCTTAGAGAATGTCATTACTTCATTTATGGGAAGGCTACAATAACAACGCCCTCACGCAGTTTGATATAATTTATAATCAAATGTATTCGTAGTAACGCAGAAAATAGTTTAAATCTTCCATGTTCTCATCAAATGGTACCTTTAACATTCGCTACGTCTCCATATAAATACATTTTCAGGAAACAAGAAACACGTATGATCACCAAGACTTACCTATAAGTACTACAATCACAGCCAACACGATATTCATATCCATTCATTCTTGAATTGGTGTGGCTGTGAACTACAACTAACTTCTCGGAATATAATTATGTTCATCGAGTTGACTTTTAATTTATTTAAAAAGGCATTGGAGATAACTTAATTTTTTAGCATAATATTAGTTTCGATATTTCATTTTGGCAAACACACTATGGCACGAGTTTTCATCTTGTCTAACTATTTCATTGTATAATTGACGTTAAAAACTAAGGCTAATTTACCAAATAATGACAACACGATAAATATGGCATTTACCGAGGTATCTCACACATTTCACTGATTTCAAGTTGGTGTTTAAGTCGGTAAATACATTAAGAAATTAAGATATACCTGCGCTGGTAATCACGCCGTCACTTGGTGGCATCCTCGTATAACAAATTATTATAGCGCCATCATCCGACAGAAAATGACAAACGATCACCCCCCCCCCTTTTTGGTTAACAACATATATAAAATCACTTTGACTCGTATTGTTCTCTAAGTTTTTCAAGGAATATTATCAAAAATGAGCAATAATAGTTACTTTATTAGTTTCTGAAGTAATACAATGGAAGTTAGTTTTTATTCAAGCAAAAATAACGGCTACATATAGGTTAAATATTGTATTAACACAAATAAAAAACAAAACCGAAATTATGATGTTTCTGAATCTTATTAAAAGATCTGATCTGATATATACACACTCAACACGTATACAACAATGTAAATTATTGAAATGAATTTATGTACAATATAAACAATAATACGTACAAATTTCATCCATAACTGTATTTTGTCGACATCGACAAATCAGCGACAGCCTTTAGTATAATGTTAGCTTAAGATTAAACATATCATTATAAATCATCTAAATAAATGCTTGACAATATCAACTACCCACATCAAAATCCCAGGTTATTCTCCGTGTTTTGTCCGATGAGCCATTCAAGCCTGAAGCAATTAATCATTACCGTAAGAATCAAGTATTTAGTGCAAGCGAATACTTACACATAAAAAAAACAGATTTTATCCATTTTGCAAAAAAACATGCAAGTCGTGGCCAATTATGATGTTGATTTTGTTTTGGGGTCATCAGTCTAATTTTTTTTAGAAAATGATTATTACATTTTAGTGAACGACCGTCATTTTCCAGTATTAGAACGCTACCCATTGCTTTCTATGGTGAATCATAATACCATATATCTCTATTGTAGGGTATACGACTTTATGAGTACTTTGTTATCTTTTGGGTTTAAGAAATTATAACAAAGCGTAATTTTGCTTTAATGTTTCGTTTTATGAAACTGTTCAATGTTTGAATAATATTCTACTATTTGTTTTCAAAAAAAAACATACACCGGTAGAATGTTTCGTGATGTATTGCGACAAACGTTCTCAAAGATTATGAATCATGTGGTACGGCGTCATAGCGTCACGTGGTACGGCGTCATAGCGTCACGTGGTACGGCGTCATAGCGCGTTTGAATTGGATGTGAACACGAGTTGTATAGTTTGTGAGAATGATACATCGTCTAACATTGTAAGGACAGTTGATGATGTCATGCCGACTGACAGAAATACAGACATGAAACAGACATAACATTATATATTCATAACAAAACTCGTTAAAATAGCTCGGATATAAGTGCAATGCACAATGTTGACAGCTCAGCTCACCCCACTCTGCCAGATATATTGCTTCTCTGGCCACGTGTTCGTTACACAATAATTGGTGCTCGCTATGTGGTATATCTTGATGTTCTCTCATATTTTCACGTGCGTCCAGTATTTTCTCTCGGGAGAGGTCAGAATCATAAACGATAGGTGAAAACTAATCTACAAGAGCAAAACTAAATCAGCTATATGCCCCGAAATAACTTGTACATGCGATTTCGTCTTGGAAATGAAAAATGGAATGCAATATTTCGCAACAGAAAAATACAACAGCTCAACTATCTCCCCATCCGTTAAAAGAATGGCAAAACATACTATTGATTTTTGGCAAACCTGAATTGAACGACGCCCACTACGACCAGTGCTCGAAAAAAAACATCTGTAGAATTTCGTGGTTGCAGAAAAAATCTTTTTGCCGGTCATTTGCGGGGGTCATGAATTCGACTGTTTCGTGGTGGAGTTTCAACACTGAGTATAGTGTTATAAAGTGTATTGTATTTTATTTTGAGAGAGAAAGACAGGATTAATGAGATTGAGTACGTATTTAATGTGATGGATATATGTGTAGAGAATACTAGTAGTTAGTACTAATTAGTGAATATTGTATATTCCAAGAAATGAAGCGGCCAAAATCAACGAGAAACTGGTGACGACTGCATTCGACCCACTGTCAGTGTTACATAAATCACCCTCGCAGCACGAATAACAAACTTCAGCACCTGATAAAAAAAAACACAGTTAAATGTAAGTATTATACGAGGTGTGAGTTTATTGTGTTGATCCTGACAGCAACGAAGATAGTGAACTTAGATAAACTCGAAATCGAGCAATGCAGACTAAATACATTAACTGATCAAGCCCAAATAACGAACTACTTGCGATGCTATTGATTGTACAACATATGCACTACTTGCGATGCTATTGATTGTACAACATATGCTCATTCAAAAAGTTTTTTTAAACAAATCTACAAGGTTATTTTTTATTTTCATTCATGTTATCAAAACAAAAACGGACAGGAAGGGGAGATTGTCCTTCTACTTTTATTTTATCATCTATGTCACGTAAACTCAACATATTTAAATACGTACCAGTAACGTGGTCACGGAGACACCCGTATTCACAAATATTTTTTTTATAGCAGGTTCGCCAAATGTCGGTAACCATTCCACCCGTGCTCACAGAAACAGTCTACAGATAAAATATACACATCTTTTTCTAAAAAAAAAAACACATCTTTATACCAACTGTGTAATTGTTGTGGCAGTATACGGATATGTTATATTGGATTATGAAGAATTGTTTACCCAATATGCTTGATATACATTTCAGTAAAAATTTGGTTTAGAATTTAGACAAACGGTAGTTTGAATAATCGTTTCTGACCCTCTCAATATTTTAGAAACCAATATTGTTAAAAAATACGTAATTATGCACCATGGTGTCACTGTTAATTGCAACACAACTCTATATTGACCCATCTGCCAACAAAAAAAGTTACCCTAGTAGCACATGACAATATTAAAGGTCCGAGTCGACTCGGGCGTTTTAATATCCGGTGTTCTCAGTATTAGACGTAGAAAAGACCGGCATGCTTACCATGCTACTTAGCACACTAGAGTCGGCATTTGTGGGCTTGACAGGCAAATGAATTTGCTACGCAAAATATACTTACCATACAAATAGGGTTGTCATATAAGCAGGTTGCTTCGTACTCAGTCGCAAGAGCTGGGTCGAAATTATGTGGCAGGCACACATCAGTCAAAGCAACGCTAGATGCCGAGGAAGAGGCGTCGCTAAGTATGAGACCGAGACCATCAGTTGGATTGTCATCGCTGCTATCGCTACTACTGTATTCAAATTCTTCTCCACTCCAGCAGCTGTAACAATTCAACGCTGTTCCAAAACTTTGTAGACTCGCCAACACTAGAAGAAAAATGATTCGAATAAAATAATTTATTTTCTATTGCATATAAATCACGATTTGATTTTTGAAATTCACAAACCCGGATTGAAAGTTAGGCACAGCAACAAGTCTTCCCATGCGTGTTTCGCCAGGAATCGACTGAACTTACGCTGGTGATAGAAAGGATTGGTGAAATTACACGACCGACTGTAGTCGGCCGACTCTAGTAGGCCAATAGTTTTAACAAGCCCTAAAATACCACATCATACTACCTAACATGACTTAGTACTGCTACTGTTTGTGCATGTCCAATTTAACATACTGCGCTACGCGGTGTAACAAGTCAACCATCGCCAACTCAGGCACGTCACGACCAGCTTCGAACTTACCAACGAAAAAGAGTACAATTTTACGATCCATGATTCGACTTGACTGGCTACACATACAACCACGTCGACTATATCAAGGCCTAATACTGAATACCACAAAGGTTCACTTGTAGATATACAATACATACTCTTTTGTTCTTCCTTCACGGTTTGATTCTATGGACCTGTACTTACTACAAACATCCATTTGTTGATACGCCATAGTTACGACGTGTTGCTAACAACATGTGTATCAACACCATACCATGTGCCTAATAAAAATAAAAATAATAATAATAATAATAATAAAATAATAATAATATTATATTATTCCTGTTACTGGAAAGACGATGACGTAACAATAATCTTGGTTACAATAGTTCATCGTATTACACCTGCTATAACTGTGATTAAGAATTAGCATTTTTTTTATGTCTAGAGTGATGTTGACTCGAATTAACTCTCGAACGTCAAAGTCGTGGGAATGTTTAAAAATAATTTAGTTCATATATAAATTTAGTATTTTTTACCATGTCAAATAACTAGGTCCATTATCTGCTGAATTTGTATAGATTGGTCACATTCTTTCAGGCGCCATGACATTAGGAATGTGTGACCGAAATGTCATAATTACACCGGCACAGGAGATTTGCTGCATTTAAATTGTACGTCAATGGCATTGATTCAAGACAATTGCCCGTGAGTCTTTTGTGTTACTGATGCATGCCTACTTTCCTCGTGAACTTGAATTGTTTGTGTTCTGTGGCGTGGACGTTTTATATGTTCTTGTTTGTGTACTTTGTTAGATGTGTGCGCGTGAGAATCGTGTCTAGTTGAGTTATTGGAAGGATATAAAATAGATGCCGTTTATTATTGCGAGTGTACTAAGAATGACTGGATTCAAGTTGGAACTGGTATAACACATGTTTTACAATTGTATAAACAGAGGATATCTCATTGAGTGATCCTACACTATCAGATATATTATACGAGTGTAATAATTTCCATTGTTTCGAGCATGAACGCCGAACTTGAAGGATGGGGAGGGGTGATTGAAATGGCAGCTTGAAATCAAGTCAATTCAGATTCTAATATATAACTAATGTTTTACGTTGCCACTGTAACTTACGTCATCATTTTATACATAGTTACGCCACGATACATTTGTTTTGATTTAGCTCAATTCGACCCGCTAGCAAACAACGCTATTCGAAGTAGCACACGTTAAGCACATCTGTAAATGAAAAATATATAGTTGCTGTTATTCTTTCTATTTTTGTTGTTGCTGTTTACATACAATGTCAACATCGGAGAAAGTTAAAGCGGGAGGGTCGTCACTTGCGCACGCGCGGGAATTGAGTCCCAAGCGACGAAAACAGCACTCGCTAAGAACGCAAAGGCTCATGGGTAGACGCTTGTTTGTAAACAATGACACGCTATATATTATTATATTATCTTTTATTTCAGGACAAGCCCATATAAAAAGTAAGAAAAAAATATTAACAAATTACACAGTATGCCTTAAATAAAATCGACCACGCCACATTTGCCATATACGTGATTTAAAAAAAATATCACTAGATAATAGATTGATTAAAACAGAGTTCTTACTCAACAAAATACGTTGCGAAAAAAGTAGCACATTTTTATAAGATTAACCTGAAAATCATCAACATGTAGTCTCTGTTTTACCACTATTAAAAGAACGAGAAACATTACATATAATTCTAAGAGCGTTGTTATACGAATAAAATCTGACCATAGGTAACTACAATAACAATTTGAACAATAACTACGAAATAGCGTACACTTAACAGGAAGAGAACATTTACTAAAACTACGTAATAACAAGCAGGCTGTCGGCTGAGATAGCTCCGCTGTTAGCAATGCACATTTCAATTAAAGAACAGAAGATATCATTAGAAAGTGAACAATATGTATAGTATCAATGCAATGGGACTTGCTGTTTTCAACAAGAATTCAAAAATATCACTTTTCACCAAAAATGACAAAAATAATCCCCCAAATTAAGTAATTGAAGATATCACCACGAAATTAACAAATCTTAAAGAGGTCCACATGTAGTACCTATATATGTAATATAAAAGCAATCAGACTTGCGGTTTTCATCAAGAAGTCAAGAATATAACTTTTTACCAAAAATTAAAAAAATATTCACTAAAATTATAGAATTAAAGATATCATCATGAAATGAACAAATCTGAGAGAGGACCACATGTAGTACCTATATATGTAATATCAAAGCAATTGGACTTGCGGTTTTTAACAAGAAGTCGAAAATATCACTTTTTACCAAAAATGACAAAAATATTCACCAAAATTAGAGAATTGAAGATATCGTTACAAAAAGAACAAATCTGAGAGAGGTTCACATGTAGTACCTATATAAGTAATATCAAAGCAATTGGACTTGCGGTTTTCAACTGGAAGTCGAAAATATCACTTTTTACCAAAAATATTCACCAATATTAGAGAATTACAGATATCAATACAAAATGAACAAATCTGAGAGAGGTCCACATGTAGTACCTATATATGCAATATCAAAGCAATTGGACTTGCGGTTTTTAACAAGAAGTCGAAAATATCACTTTTTACCAAAAATGACAAAAATAATCACCAAAATTTGAGAATTGAAGATATCATTACAAAATGAACAAATCTGAGAGAGGTCTACATGTAGTACCTATATGTGTAATATCAAAACAATTGGACTTGTGGTTTTTAACAAGAAGTCGAAAACATCACTTTTTACCAAAAATGACAAAAATATTCACCAAAATTAGAGAATTGAAGATATCATCATGAAATGAACAAATCTGAGAGAGGTCTACCCAAGGTACATACGCACCAAGTATCAAAGCAACAAAAATAACGCATGCTCGCAACAGGTGTGCCACGTTAGCTCGTCGCTGCGAACTATCTGTTCTACAATATTTTCAATGAACTAACTTTATAGCTTGTAACTTAGTGCTTTACCTAACAGTACGCAGAAATGGAGGATCGTCCGCGTCGTGATAAAAAGAAGGGCAAATCTGCTACAAACAACGAAACAACGTCATGCTATATTCAAGATGTTCATGGCGACAATGACATTCTGCCTGATACACCTGTAACAGGGGATGAACATCAAACTGAGTAATCTTTCTCTTGCCAATATGAAGTCCCTAATGAAGTCATGTCTATGTGAATTGAAGAAAGAAGTTTCTGGTATTACTGCCACCACGT